CTAAGCCGATATCCGTTACACTACCCGCACAGCCATTCTAAATCTTCTCTTACATAACAATGACGTTGCTCGGTTATATTTTTTAATTATAATAAAGAGTATAGACTTACAAAATCAAATGGGAAAAATTCATTATGTATTCATAATATACGACTTATGTATTCATTTTATACATATGGCTTGAAAACATAAAGGATCTTGGAGCCGTAACACGAATGATTAGGATCTTCAGCATCATTACACTAACTTTTACACAAATTGTTGTGGATTCCGGGATGAAATCCGGTACCAATAAATAACAAACGCCAAGAATGAATATAGGAAAATAATGTATTAACGTAATAATACAAACTGGTAAAGCAGGTTAGTAGTACCAGGAATACGGGTTAGTAGCAATATATATATATACAGTCTTTGATATTGAAGTATCGCTGTATGACTTCTTACTGAGTCTACGTGCTCGCTCACGGTGACTCGCTACGTTCGGTCTGTCTGTCTGTCTGTCTGTCTGTCTGTTAACTTCACCCTCTGTTGCCCTCGTCTTGTCTCTCGGGTCTTCACGTAGCAGTAGTATATGTATATACTGGGTGAGTCCATTTTTGTAAAAAGTGGAGGACCCCGCAACACAAATACCTTTGCTAAGGGCATAAATACCTCACATCTCCCCCGGATTTGGGACAAATATCAGTGTAAACTGTGCCGTCGTCAACAACCAGACGAGGACTAAAACACCAAAATCTAAATTAAACCGCATAAAATATGTCACTCGTAAGTTTCGCTCAGCTTATTTGGAGTATAAATCAAGGTAGACTCTGTTGCAGTTAAAGAAACACAAATATGCCTTTACAACTGGGATTAGCTAGCTACCGTAGTAGATTGCATCGAAGGTGAGAAATCAAACTTATCTGCAGTGTGACTTCAAATTGGAACATCCCTGATGTTGATAGTAAGGTCTGTATATATTTTGGGACCAAATAGGCTTGCAACGAACCTTATTCTTCTGTTGGAAGAACAGTTAAAATCGAGAGTATCCAGATTATGGGAATGGATTTCGGAATCGAGAAATGTGCAACGCTGTCGATACAGAACGGGAAAAAAGAGAAATAGCGGTAGAAATTAAATTAGTCGTTCATGGACTTATCAAGACGCCCAGGTGGAAAGCAAATGAGAAGTATCTTAGAATGCTGAAAACTGATTCAATCAAGCCGAATGAGATGATAGAAAAAGTCAACAGAGACTGTGTAAGAAAAACAAGGAAAATATTGGAAACTAGACTTAGTAGAAGAAACTTGATCAAATACCTGGACCGCTTCTATTGTGAGATATTCAAAGCTGACTAAGATAGAAACTCTCAGAAAACCAGAAAAAAAATGATGACAATGCAGAATGCTTTGTACCGAAGAAATGGCGCCGATAAGTGAAAAGGAAAAGGGAAAAATAGCTCGTCAACATTGAAGATTATGTCGACTTTGCTATCAAGGGAAATGAGAAGTACACAAGACAAATTGAAACAGTAACTAAATACAACAGCCAAAAGCTACAATAGAATTGACGGGAATGCAAACATTGCGAAAGAAAAACTAAAAAGCGAGGAAAATTGTAAGAAAGATAACTATTTCAGTAAACGAACTGAGAGAATAGCACACGTAAATATGAGAAAATCTAAAAATAAAGACTGGATCCTTATTAATGTGGCCCCGGAACAACGTGGACTCTCAGCAAAACCTTTACCTCCCGCGTCTATGGCTTCGAGTTCATCGCGAAGGTTCACTGTTCGGATCTTGTGCCCACAGAGGAACTGCAGATCATCATTTAGAGCTGAGTTCGCTGTCACGGCCTGATGAGATTTGAAATGTTTCCGTATCGAGGTCCTCACCAGGTATCTAAGATTGTGAGAACCGATAAATTTACTCTATCAGATCGATGCAATCTGGATTCGGAGATTGTAAGGTGGGTTCTAATCGATAAGTGGAAGTCGACAAACTCCACAGATATCAAATTAGTTTTGGGCCTCTTTTTCATAATTTACATTATTTGCAGTTCGTAAAGAAGTGAAAAATTAATTAAAAAAAAATAATTTTAGGACCTCGCCCGACAAACGACAAAATATTGAGATATGCAAGTTATTTTTCTGTACATAAATTTTTTAAATCTCATGACGATTCTGTGGGACAATATTCTAGTGAGTTAAGCAGTTGCTTTGTGAACTCAATGGTATTGTCTCTGTGAATCTAATCTGTGATCGAGTTATACGAATATATTTAGACTTAGTAGAAATAGAAAGAGCAATAACTGACCAGTATCAAAGTTAATTAACTAAGATGAAACATCCCTAAATGTGGAATGAAAATGATCTAGCCCCGTAGATTGAATAAAGGGTTCAGTTCGAAATTCCCTGAAAGTTTTCCACATCGATAGACAGCTGTAGAAGATGAGTAGGAAAATGGTCTAAACGCTGTGATAATAATAATAATAATAATAATAATAATAATAATAATAATAATAATAATAAAGATAAGGACAATAGTCCGATTGTAAATAATATAAACAATAGAATCCAGATAGAATTTCTTATTTTCACATTTATTTCCCTTATCTAACCTCAGTGTTAGATGCAATAAGCAAAATCCACCAATTTTGACGACTTTTAAATGTTAGCTGTTACACGTCGACCAAAAGCGATCTTTTTCAGTGACAAAGACAAACGCTACGAATACCATTTAGCGCCAAAGCAGAACAATTATTTTCGCTAACCTAAAAGTCCGGCCTTACGCTTTTATCACGTTGAAATACCGATTCTCGTACGATCACCGACTTTAAGCAACGCCTCTTCAGTACCTGGAAGATAACTACTTTGAATACTACGTGCTGTAAGCTTGGATTGTGGGGTGATGTAATGGATAACGGCTAGGAATTAGGTATCGGAGAGACAAGTTCCAATTCCAATTGTGGGCGTTAAATTGACTTATGCGCAAATAGTCTTTGGAAAGCTCTGAATATACCTCTTCCACCCAACTATGGGTTAATTACTGACAATCTAAAAATATTTTCTGCCTTTAAATAACCAACAAAAGGTAAAACCATAAAAAAATCAAACAACCGAGAAATCCTAAACAAAGGGAAATTTCTTTAGAATCAATGAATGAATGCTGCTACGTCATGTCAATCCTTCTATATGATAGTGAATGTCAGACAATTTACTTACAGGGGAAGAATAGACTTGAGGCAAAAGAAGCGCTCCTGCAAAATAATGTTGAGTATATCATAGACGGAGCATGTGAACAATAGGGAAGTCTTAAGAAAGCTGGGATAAAGTATTAAAGAGACCTGGTAACTTTGTTAGAATCAATGACAGTCGTGCTGAACATGTACATTATAGCTATCCTCTTATATGGCAGTGAATGTTGGACAATTTCTTTACAAATGAAACGACAATAACGTGGTTCTACAGAAGGGTGCTGAGAATTCTATGGGCAAAAACATAATACAACTTCCTGTCCCTTCTTGCTCCAAGTAATTTACCCTTTTTATAAATGTGGCACAAGGCCGAAAGTTTTGAGCACACAATGTGGATCGAACTCACTATTCAGTCGTAATTGATCTATCGAGACAGGCTTGCTAACCATCGAGGTGCCCAATGATTTTCTAAGCGTAACTTAGATGTGGCACATGGCCGAAAGTTTGGAGCACCCAATGTGGATTGAACTCACTATTCAGTTGTAATTGATCTAGCGAGACAGACTTGCTAACTATCGAGGTACCCAATGTTTTTCTAAACGTAGCTTAGATGTGGCACAAGGCCGAAAATGTGGAGCACCAAATGAGGTTGACTCTTTCTATATCCAGTTGTCTTTACTCAGTCATCCATTTATACAATTTATAGATTTATACTAGTCGTTTACTCTCTCTTTATCTCTGTCTCTCTTTCCTTTAACATGCACTGAGAGTGTCACATTTTCCGAACCTTCTGTCCTTATAATGTGTCCTAGAAATTTCTATTCTCTTTATTTTAAGTAAGAGTGCCCTAGTTTTTATTTTCATACAACTTTGCTCATATTAACTGATGGATCTTTTCTGTTATTCACCCCACATAATGTAAAGTTACTTTGTTTGTTTTTATTAATTTTTGGCACTCTTTTGAAATTATAAATTTTAAATCAAAATCTGTTTAGTTTGCCTCTAAACAACTCCAACGCACAGAATTAAAAATTACGAAAAATCAGGAAGTCGTTGACGTTTTTTAAGTGTGGGTGATATTCGAGGTACGTACAATTTAAAAGATTTTACAGTTTTTGGTTTGTTTATCAGAAACATTAGAAATAGTGTACCCGAGTCGCCCACATTTGGGGCGATCACAAAGGTCAACCCAGCCATAGTGCAATAGAAGGGCCGTGATCCGGTAGAATTTGGTGGGAATTTTAGTAAATATAAATTATTTTATTTTGGGTTGAATTTACAGAAGATATCGAAATCGTCGAATGTATAACCCGAAGAATTGGGTCATAAAATGAATACCAAAAAAATGCCAGTTTGTTTTTCTTTAATATTACGGTAACCAGAATGACTATAACAAGACCTGTTGTTAAATATCTGAAAAGTGCAAATTCTTTTTTTTTTCTTTTTTTTTTTTTCTATTTTATCTTGGAGTTGCCTAATAGCAATCGTTGATGTTTTCGAGTTCATTGCAGGGCATGAATGAAATCCGATTAAAAATCTAAAATTGGGAGAAAATAAAGGTTATTTTTTTTGCCACAAGCAACGTCAATAAGTCTATAAAAAATTATAATTAACGAATAGTATTTTTGCTGTTTCAGTGCAACAGAAATTCACAAAGACAGATACTAACTGAGACTGATAATTAATTTTACAAACCTTTTACTACTTGAGATATTTTTGTTGTTTCTTTGTCTCCTTCAAATTCTTCCCAACTTTAACCCATTCCTCTTCACCTCCTCTTTTCTATTCCAATTTCTTATGCATAATGGAATTCAGTTCTCAGTATGACTAATGACCTAAAACATCTTTTCACTGTTTTTCTCTCACTCCCCTCTTATACGCCCTCCGTTTCCCCCGCTCTCTCTCTCTCTCACCTCCTCTCTCAAATTCTCCCCCTCTCTTATCCGTTCTCACCAAATATTTCACCCTCTCTCTGTCTCGCAAACCTCCGTTAGCTTCCATCGCGCTTACCCTCTTTCTCTCAATCATTGCCTTTTTCACCATGAAACTGCCTCTCCCTGTCTCTGCCACATTCACTCTCCCTCTTCCGTCTCTTACAATATCTAACCTTCCTTTCTATTTTCGCTTATTTTCTCTATCACAATTTCTCTTCCACTCTCTTTCTCTCACTTAATCTTCCATTCTTTCTCGGATCCGCTTTCTGGTATTTTTTTTCTCTCCTTTTGTATCCTCATTCCCAAATTCTCACCCTTTCCCTCACTCCCTCTTATCCATTCTTCCTCGGTCTCTCACCCTTTATAGGCCTCTTTCTCTTACTCATTTACTTTTTCTCTCACCCTCTCACTCTCTCTGCTCTTCCTCTCTCTCCTCTTGCTCTTCCTCTCTCTCCTCTTGCTCTTCTCTCTCACTCTCTCTCTTTCTCTCTCGCATCCCTTTATCATTTTCTCGCGCTTCCTGATTTTATCTCTCCCTCTCAGGATCTCTCACTCTTTCCCTCATTCTCTCTTCTTTTCTCTTCCCTAGTTTATCTCTCTACCTTCTGCCACAATGTATTTTGCTTAATAAACAATCTCTCTTTCTCTCTCGCTCTCTCTCTCTCTCTCTCTCTCTCAATCGCTTTCTCTTACTCCTTAGCTTTCTCACCCTCTCTCTCTCTCTCTCTCCCTCTCTCTCTCTTATCCACTCTTACCTAGTTACTCCCTCCAGATCCCTTACTCTCTCTCACTCTCTATTGGTCTGGTTTTTTCTCTTACTCAATCACTTTTTCTCTTACGCTCTCTCTCTCCTCTCCCCTCTCCCCCACCTTTCTCTCTCTCTCTCTCTCTCAATCGCTTTCTCTTACTCCTTAGCTTTCTCACCTCTCTCTCTCTCTCTCTCTCTCTCTCTCTCTCCCCTCTCTCTCTTATCCCTCTTCCCTAGTTACTCCCTCCAGATCCCTTACTCTCTCTCACTCTCTATTGGCCTGGTCTTACTCAATCACTTTCTCTCTTACGCTCTCTCTCCTCCTCTCTCTCTCTCTCTCTCTATCCTCCCCCTCTCTCTCTCTCTCTCTCTCGCCCTGCTCTTCCACTCTCTATCGCTCGCTATCTCACATCCCCATTCTCATTTTTTTATCTTCTCTCCTTCATTTTACCTCTCTTAATCTCTCACCTTCACCACCACTCTCTTTTATCCTCTCTTCGCTGTTTGTTTTTTTTTTCCCCCTCTGAATCTCTCGCCCTCTGCAGGTGTCTTTCTCATTCTCACACATTCCCTCTCACTTCTCTCTTTCTTCCTTTCTTATCTCTCCTTCACCAGCTTCCCCTTTCTCTCACGTCATGTGTCATATTCTTATATTATTATTATTTTGTTGTTGTTCTTCTTCTTCTTACCCAGTTGCATTTTAATTTCTATTTCGTTTTGGATATTTATCACGTCATTCTTTTTCACTTGCTTTATTCGATAGCTTTTAAGTATTTATCTTATTCTGTGTTTGTTTGGGGGTTTTTTGGGGGGGGATTTTTTTTTTTTGTTTGCTTTTTTTTTTGTTTTTTTTTTTAATCCGCAATAATTGATTTGTTACCTTGTTTTAGCTTATCCTTTCTTTTGTTTCATTTGATTCATTTCTGCGAATCCATTTTCCCTGATTTGTTCTCATTTGTTAATATCTTTATTTTTTGTGGGGGGGGAGGTCATTTTATTTAATTTTTTTTTTTTATTCTGAAATTGTGCTATGTTCATCGATATTATCTCGTTTACGACTTCGACATTTTTTTTTTCTTACATTTGTATTTTTCTTCGTGATGAAAACCGACCAGAACTTGCATACCGGTTTCCAGAGAATATCAATGAATGTAAAGATGTCGCGTCATCACCATTGCTTTGCTGACAGAATGTTTTTTGTCTCGTATTCTTACCGTCTATTCCATCATACATTCATGGATTTGCCATATGTTACGGTGACGCTGGTAAACATTGACAACGATGATAACTGCTATTATCGTGAAACCTCGTCCCAAATATTAAAAAAATGAAAACATAAAACTCGACTGGCATGCAATGGAAAGACTATATCGAATCCATAGCTGCTAAGATAGTTGAGTGACTATGTCCTGCTAGACAACTTTTCTCTCCAAAATCTATTTTACATATCTATAAGTCTACCATTCGTCCATACTTAGAATATTTCTGCCATATATGGTCCGGTGCTCCTGCTATTTATTCAGAGATTCTTGATAAAATCCAAAGAAGAATCTGCCATATTATTGGTCCTGATATTGGCGTCTCGGCTTCAGTCACTTTCGTACCATCGCAAAGTTGCCTCCTGTGTCTTTTCTATAAATACTTTCACGGTAATTGTACGGATGAGCACTTCGCGATGTGTTGTGGCCTTGTTAGGGCCAGAAATAAAGACACAAAGAGAGGAATTGAGTTAAACAAATATATTAACAGAAACAGTAATACAAATATATACAAACGAGAGTGTTACAGCAAAAATGTCAGAGCTGACTGCTGGTAGCTTCCCTCTAAAAGGCAGTACCTGCTCCTATTTATAGCTGGTAGAGTTCATGTGTGCGTGGGTAAATTACCATAAGACTATGGTATCTAGCCTTTTTCAATTTAAGCGCAGTACTAAACTGGCATTGAGATCCCATCAATTTACAGTTGAGTTGGTTAGATATAACCTTAAGTTCTATGTTAAGCTAGTATAAATGCTCTTACAGAAACGATATTGGGATTACTGTCGAAGATCATTTATTTACCATCTCAGTATATCCTTATTATATCAACGATATAGTAACACTTAGTTCATGGGTGAAAATTGACAAAAACATGCATATATGTTTTAAGAGAAAATACTTATCCATATATTTACAGAATGCAGTAATAGTTTGTTCAAACAGCGACCAAGATACACAAAAGTTAAATGAATTAATGTCTTGATTTGGTCGTGCATTGCGCCAGTAATGTGTCCCAGCCATGAAAGACGAGAAAGACATGCACCAACTGGCGACGCCGCTTATATTTCGCTTTTTTAACGCCAGACTGTCATATCACTCATCTTACATTTCTAAGCGGTCATCCATCTAGGTACTGACCAGGATCAACCTGGCTTAACTTCGGTGATCGAACGGGAACCGGTGTTTGAACGTAATGTTGCCGTAAGCCCCTATAGCTGGATCCTGGTACATTAGATCATTTAATCAGTCAGAATCATTCACGGATTGCCATCTGACCTGTGGTGGTAGCACCTGTTAGGGTCCCAGCTATAGGAACCCCCAAACAAAATAAACAAAAATAAAACACTATGAAAGTATAAAAATACATTCTTATAGTAAAAAGTATGAGCAATGTTAAAAAAAATTACAAACAATACATATTTATAATAAAACTACCAACACATTTTTAAAGTAAAATGGTCACCAATACATTTTATAGTGGAATTACCATCATAGTAGAATCACTATCTTGCGCTTTGACATGTGAGAATGAATCAGGAGCAGATTATTAAGTTTTATAACACTACATTTCAAAAACGTTCGTCAGGTAAGTTCAGATTTCACTGAAAGATTATTCTTTTTTTTTTTTTTGCAACTCAAACTAAAGATAATAATCAAAATTAAGAATCCAATACTAATGACACAATTTATCCCAGATGAACGAATCGAAAAATTGCTTTGTGTTTAAACGTGATTTTTTTATAACATATTATAATGTCGATGATCCGTTTTTTCTACAGAATGAGGTTGACAAATGTGATTTCCCCATGTGACTAATAACGAAGCACGCAAATTATTTTGTCTGTAGTATATTTATTTGGATCTTTTTGCATCAGCTCGCTATTTTTCAAAGAAAAATATATATATATTTTTTAATTCTTTACTTTTTATTAGGTTTTGAGACAACTCTGTACGCCCTTCAAAAATACACTCCGTCTGAAGTTCTTATGTGAATTACATAACACGCAATAACGACAAATTTTCGTAAATTTTAAACCATTAATTTAGACGTCAAATCAAAGCTTGCTTTAAATTTTTAGGTACTTTCAGTGTTTTAGTAATGTTATTAAATTTATTATAAAAAACTGCAGTCTGAATAAGGTAAAATTAGTTTAAGACCTCTGAAATGTAATAAAAACTATTTTTCCATATTGAGTTATTGAGGTCTACGTTATTTCCATGACTTCAGACGGACTGTTTTGGCATTTTCGAATATTGATCGCATCTTCAATTTCTGTTCTTTCACTTTCCAGAATATTTACATTATTTAAAATCAGTCCCTTCTAAAAAGTAAAACGTTTTCGTCTGCTTCTTTTCCTTCTATGCTCTGTATGAAGGTTAATATCTCCAAAACATTTTTCCTTACAATTGTAACCTAGAAAGGGTTAATAGTGTTCAAAGGTATGGTATATAACACTATCTATCTATCTATCGATATTAAGTCATTCCACATCTATCTATCTATGTATGTTAAATCTGTCCATATATATATATATATATATATATATATATATATATATATATATAAGGCAGGATGTATGTGTGTGTGTAAAGAATGCACGGCCGGAATTTTCGACGGATTTGAACAAAAATTTACATGCCCATGCTCCAAGTTAGCAGGAAGGCCAAGACCGACATTGCATTTTCCAACTCCCATCGATAGTAGAAATAATCGATTTTTTCATGCTTCTACGGCAGTTTTCATGTAGTTTGCGGCCATTTTCTACTGGCCAGAGTGAGAGCCAATAGCTGACTAACACGAATGTTAACTAGCATGCAAAAAAAATCGATAGCCGCATTCGTCACGAGTGGAAACATTTAAATCTGCATGGCACTTTACTCCAATTGGCTCATTCGCTTGTTTAAACTCAAGGTTGATTCTGATTCCGCAGAACTGGGTTGGGTGTGAAAAAGTATTTGTTGTTAACATTCTTTTTTCATTCGGTTTTTCCAGTTACGAGTCCTTTTTAAAGCTGATCGTTTTGAGTTCATTTTGTTTAGTTCTTTTTCGTAACAGATTTAATGTTTAGTATAGAGCTTAGAAAAAATTCGCAGTGTGAGATAGGCAAGAAGTAATGCATGTAGCAACATCAGCACGGCAAAGGGCACTCCTTTAAAAGGTAAGGAAGGGCAAAAATATTTTAAGTCAAGTGATAGCGATTGCTGTATGAGTCGTACGATTTTTCAATCAAGCACGGGCAACGCCGAGCCATGCTGCTAGTATATATATATATATATATATATATATATATATATATATATATACAGCTGGGAAGAGAAGAGGTGGATTAATACCTTTCGCAAGGATATTTGCTCGTAAGTAAATATAACGAACTCACCTGGAATTGGAACTCATCTCTCCGATTAACAATTCAGAGCCATTATTCTTACACCAACCGCAGGTCCAAGCTTACAGCACCTCGTCTTCTCCAGCGGTCACCCATATATGTACTAACAAGGCTCGATGTTGCTTAACTTCGGTGATTGTACGGGAACTGGCATTACAGCGCTATAAGGCCGTAAGCCCAGCAGCAGATGTACTAAGCAACTTATACTTTAAAACGTAGCCACGATAATATTAATTTTTCTTATTTAGTACAAACCCTCATATTAAAAAAATTTACGATGTAATTATGAGCTTATATGAACAAATTAATAGTGTACATTGTCTACAAGATTACATAGCAGAATTATCAGACTAAATTTACTAATTCATATACTAATTTACTAATTTATATACTCGAAAGGCAGATTTATCTCAGCTTTTGAATGACTGAAGCTTTAGTAAAAAGGTATATTTCTTGGCAAAATATTTATCGTTTTCTGTTTTACTGTTCCGTGATTGGTTATAAAATCAATTAACTATTCTTTCTTTTGTACTTTTCGACGGTAAAAATTAATAATGAAATTATGTACTTATATTAGCAAATTATTAGTGTAGATTATATTTATAATTTTGTGATTAGATAATGTCAAGTATGTATCTGGGAAAGACGTTTTATTTACAGATAAAGAAGAATATATAAATTTGTATATACGAGAACAATGTTAGGCAATTGAATGGCGTTTAAAGCGTTTCGTCCTCTAGAATGGCTACACCGGTCTAAAGTAATGTTTTTATTGATTAAATTATACTGCTGCTGATGCAAGACTCTTCTTGATTTCTCCGGTCACTGGCGTAATTGTCTAAAAATAAATACGTCTAAATCTTCGACTGATACCAAATCAGTCGGTTTTCGATTCCGGCTTGAAGCAATTGGATGTCTAGTCAGTCTGTGGCTGACAGACTGTGCATATATATATACAGTGTAACCCGGATATAAGAGAGTTGGCGGGACCGGAGAAGAAGTCTCTTATATCCGGGTTTCTCGTATATACGGGTTTGGTCTATTTTATATACATTAACACAGTCTCTAATTTGGTACCAGAGAAAATTTCTCTTATATCCCGGTTTCTCTTATATCCGGGTCACATATCCGGGTTACACTATATATATATATATATATATATATATATATATATATATATATATATAAGGAGATATATTAACGGAAAAATTTCTTATAAAATTTATGACCCGAGGGGAAATGCTGATTTCTTTCGGTTTCCAAATGCTTTCATTTTTAGAATTGTTCTAAAATCTACTGATGTTATACGAATATATTGACAATTCCAACCGAGAATTTATTGCATATCAAACAGTTTAATGTACGAAGTTTGGCTGAAATGTTCATAGGCTGACTATGAAGGAGCGATGACAGAGCTGTAAAATCTTTAATTTTAGTTCATCCTATTAATAACTAGATTATTTCCAGGTAAACTGACATTTGACTGTTCAAAGACTTTAAAAATGTACCTAATAGCAATTTCTCTTGAAAATGGACAAAATTTGGCATCGTGAGTACCAGCAGAAAGAGGATCTATATTCATGCTATCATACTTATAGGATGGCGTTCCATCTTTATCAACTGTGCGAAAGTGGGCAGCTGAATTTATGAGGGGAAAGGGAGAGTTTTGAAGACCGAATATAAAACAAATAGCTAATGCTATTAGAATATTCCGTGAGAAAGTTGAAAATATTCTTGAGCAATGAACATGGCATGACGAAAGTTTCTGCTGAGTCAACTCACCAGCCTGATCACATCACGAGTAAATCTGACATTGTTTGACAAAGATCCAGTTGGTTTCTTTCAAGGTTTCTTAACCCTGGATGAGTGTTGGGTTCATCAACTTGAGTCAGAGACAAAGAGACAATCCACGTAGTGGAAACATCCCTCCTCACGTGTTCCAGATAAAGGCATGGTCGTTTTATTTGCAGGGAAGGTGATGGCCTCAGTTTTTTGGATGCAAAAATCATTATGTTTATTAACTATATTCAAAATGGTCACACCATCAATGGGAAGTACTATGTTAACTTGCTGGGGCAATTACGATAGGCTATCAAAATCAAACGTCTAGGAAAACTGACGAAAATGGTCTTATTTCTCTAGGACAATGCTCCAGCACACAAATCCTTGGTTTCAATAGTTGTCGTGCATGACTGTCGCTTTGAACAGGTTGATCACCTTCTTTATTCTCCTGATTTGATTCTCATCTGTTCCCGGACATGAAGAAAGGACTTGATTCGGAACCATAATCGCAGTGACGTCATATCTGCTGTTGGTGAATTTTTTGACCAACAGGATGAATAGTTTCACCTGGAAAGAAACGATGCAGTTATCAATAAGTCAAGTTGAAACTGATTCACAGAAGATTTCACAGCTCTAGCATAACTCTTTCATAGTCATCCTATGAACGTTTCAGCCCACCCTCGCATACTAAAACACAGTCTAGAAAACACTCAGCATATAGAGAATTGTAATGGACCAAAATGTCTTTTGCGATTATGTTATGAACCCCTATCCGAGCATATAACTGTTTATTTCTCTATTGTTGTACAAAACATGCCGTTCTTCAGTCTGATGTATACAATTGCTTCCCAAAATAAACCTAGAATTAGAAACGAGATGCTACAGAATCATTCTTGGGTATCAACTACGTAGACAGCAGAAAGAGGATCTATATTCATGCTACCATACTTGCTACATTATAGGATGACGTTCCATCTTTATCAACTGTGTAAAAGTGGGCAGCTGAATTTATGAGGGGAAAGGGAGAGTCTTGAAGACTGAATAAAAAACAAATAGCTAATATTCTGTGAGAAAGTTGAAAATAATCTTCACAATGAACGTGGCATGACGAACGTTTCTGTCAAAAACGCACCAGCCTGATCACATCACGAGTAAAGGTGTTGGCCTCAGTTTTTTTTTTTTTAGATGCAAAAGGCATTATGTTTATTAACTATATTCAAAAGGGTCACACCATCAATGGGAAGTACTATGTCAACTTGCTGGGATATGGCCAGAATTGATTTGAGGAAGTCTTCCAACCACATTCACCACTAGATTTGCCCGATATGTTCCCAGTTAGGCATATAGGATTTTGTGGATATTCGCACGAAAGATGCTGATACTTACAAATGATCAGAGAGCTGTGGAATGATATGGAGATAGTATAATTCGGTATCATTCCTGGGGTCGCCAGAACAACTTGTGCAGACTTCAGGGGAAACGATATACTAATAAACTTGTGAATACTGCAGCTACAATTTAATGCCACATAATATATGCGGTTAACTTGGCACATTTCACTATACAGCCGTTGCGTAATAATTTCTCAATATCAAGACGGAATTCAAAATAATAATCTAACGATTCCTACAAAAAAAAAAAACAAACAAACAAAAAACGAACGGAAGAAAAACAACTGAAGGCGTAGAAATTCCGAAACCAATTTCATTTGCATTTGAATTGCAAATAAAACCCGTCAAATAAATCACCTTTTCTTGTCTTGCGGATTATTTTATTCTCGTCTCTTGATGTTTCCAAGTGAAACAACCGCGAAATTGTGTCAATAAATAAATTCCAATTGGCCATTAGAACGAATATAACAAGTCGTAGGTGACAGAAACCTTTGAAAAATGTCTTTTGTTAAGCGTACTAGCCTCATGTTTAAACATTGTTTTCATTCTCATTGTTTTTTGTTTAGGACATCAGAAAACAACGTAGGACTAGTAATCGGATTCCTTTGTTCTTATTAAAATAAAAACGAAAAAAAAATGGTAATCTATTTTTAAATAGAGAAAAATGTAAATGACTAATTGTAATCTTTTAAATGTTAGCGCTATGAAAATTTAAGACTTGTATCACTAAACAATTATTATCTCCACCACCGCCCACCCACCAAAATTCATAAAATCTAAAAATATTTTCTAGCTTTAAATAACGTACCAAAAGGATTAATAAGCCGTAGAAAATGAATCAATCAATCTAAGTCTTGTTGCTACTTCATGTAGATCTTTTATGTTCTCTTTCTTAAGCTATGTAAATCGAGTTATATATCTCATATTAATATATCGCTACATCTCCTGGAAACGCAGAGGGTTTTTTTATTCCATGTAGGTCCTCTGCTTTTTCTAAACATTGTTTCAGTTTCGGGTTTCTTTACTTTCCTTCTCTCTCCATCTCCTGAGATCTTGATGTGTTTCTTTCTTTTGGCGATCTCGATTTGGCTCTTGTCTATAGCCAACGTTTCAGAATCTCATTGCTCCTGTTAATCATCCGTAACCATGACGTCATTCGTTTCTTTCTGTAAGGACATGTTCTATTGTTGGCTTGTAAGACCATAATTGGGAGTGCTATATGGACAGCTCTTTATCCTTCGCCGCTTCATAATCTTCTTGTAGCATTAAAAAGTTCTGCATGGTCTGCTATGCTGCTCTCATTCTTAAATATGGTCGTGCTGTTGCCTCTTTGAATTAGAAAACTGCCTCTTCCCGCACCGACTCTTTAATCTATTTATATGCCACCATGGATACCATTTCTTTAATATTCGTCCCGTCAGCACTGACAAAATCTTTAAAGTAATAATTCCATTTTTATTTTCTGGAAACACCTTGTAGAGTGTGGGATAATACCGTACTTTCATTAGCAAATTAATTCCTTCTGTCTTCGCTCTTTCACCTTTCAATCAATATAAACTTTTGAATTTGCAGGAATGAGTGGAATCAACCACGTTCAAATAAGATTACAAGAGAGTTTTATAATTCTAATCTCGTTACACGTAGCTATTTCTAGACTCTCGATTTATAAGACATTTTACGATTCTATTCGTTCACATCGACCGCAGTCAGAAACATACTGTTTTTGTGAACGAAACAATAATTTAGCTGGCTGCATTGAGTGCTTTTCGCAGGGCTGAACATTTTTCTTTAAATTTTCCTCTTCCTAGAATTATTACCATGTCTAGAGAGCCTTGTCTATACAGTTATTTAACCCCCTAGATGAGGGAGAAATGATGGAGTTAATCAGAATTTGAACTCGGGCCGCCAATTTCTCATTCCGCTAACCACAAATTACCCTACCTACAAATACTTATAAACTTTTTTTTTTTTTTACAAATACAAGAACGTATTATCTGCAAA